TAATTTACTAAGCCGTTTTAAATCTTTAGGCCCACTTGCAGCAGCAAAATTTCGATTCAACTAAAGCCAGCCAACTGGGCAGACGCTAGGCATATAATAATTTTCCTGCAGGTAATTATTATTTAAATATGCCTCCTTTCAGCGCCTCGAACCTACTCAGTCCGTTTTAATGTTTATTAAACTCACACCCCCTTATTAATAAACGAGGAATAATCTTAGATTAGTTACGCCGTGTTTTGTTCATATAACCCAATAAAAAATAAATAAAAAATAAAATAAAATGTCATTCCATGAACAGACACAAAACATGGAGTAACTTATCCAAGCTTATTCTTCGTTTATCAATAAACGGGACAGTGTATTGTATATGTAACGGTTAAAGTGGTAAATTTAGATATATAATATCTCTCTCTATGTATAATGTCTAGCAATATATGCATTATCTATAATACATAGATCAATTACCTCTCCAGCATATCCAAAAGATATCAAAACCTCGCGCCTATTACAAACAAACAAAGTTTGCAAGATAGATAAGTTAGGAGGGAACTAAAGAAAAGTTTAAATTTTAATCTTTTAAGATCCTATCGTTTCTAAATAAGTTAAAACTTCATTTACAATAGGAAATTTTCCCTTTTATTTTAGAAACTTGTGACGTAATTTCCTGAAACACTTGAAGCTGCCTGTGTTAAGCCGAAATTTGCGTGAAGAACCCAAACTCCTTCATCTATTGAAAGGGAAATTAATTAAAGTCCGCATTTGATTGGCGTTAGAACGAGCAACTTCGAAGGTCTCTTGTCTAAAGTTGGCTCAGCTTGATATATTGATATCGATCATCTGTTTCGGGATAATATAACGATATTAATTAAATGAAAAAGCACAGATGCCTATGCTCTCTGGCAAGACCCATTGCTTAATATGGTGAAATACATTTTAAACACTTTATACTTGCCAATTCAGTTGCAGAAGTCATTAATGTTATGAATAAAGTGTAAATGTAGGTACTCTGCATTAAATATCCTAATAATCTTTGATGCTCTGGAAACTCGGCGAGGCTGTTTTTTGACATGCTTTTATTTTATTCTATAGGCGTAGATGTCTATTGTAAAATGATGGCTCTATAAGAAGCAACTATCGAACATTGAAAGCATCGATGCCACTATAAATTCTAGGTCTGTGGATGCCGCATTGAATATTTTATAGTAGGTATTTTCAGAGGCTACTCTATTCGTTTATAGATTTTTATAATCCGAATGGGAAGGAGGTAAATCAACTGTCTTCTGTGTTTCTGTCGTACCAATGCAGCGTGCGAATAGTATTTAGGTTAAATCTTTGGTTTTGCACTGTGGAAGAGTCTATCGTAAGTTTAACAATTTTTGCAAACCATTTTGTCATATCCTGTCTGTGCTATATACATGATAACATAATTGACTTGATTCTGGCATGATTCTCTAAACTAAAGCCTCCTGCTCATAGGTATGTTATTATCGGATAATATCAGGTGCGTTATTGCGATATTTACTGATATTTCTATTGCGTTGTTATTATCACAACAGTGTGTAACTACGTAGCCGTTCTCATACATAATGTACTAAAAATTGATATCGCAGTAACGCATCCTTTATCGATAATATGATTTATCGATGATATCGATAATAACGCGCCAATGGGGGGGAGGTCTTAACGTTAGATTGACAGCAGTTTCACCAAGCATTATAAGAATAAACTGCTTCCGAATTAGGTTTCAGAATTACTCTAGAATTAAGCACAATAGGCAGTGTGTTAACTGTGTCGCTAAGATAAACAGTACCTAGAACTTAGATACACTCTAAACAGGTATCAGACCTTCAAGAGCACAATTCCAATATTAGTATAGATTAAGGATCGCATTAAGCGAGACATAAACATTGTTCAAGATAACGGATTATGTAGCTCCGAGCACGTTCTCGGCGATAATAAGTATGTGTATACGCTTCGTTTATTATTAAACGATAAAGCAAAGGATCCGTAGATTCTATGACAAGAAGGTAATCAAAAAGCACATAAGTCTAATCTGAATGATTCTTCTTTTGTTCTATATAACGGCCGTTGTTTTATACCAAATTAGCCAGTTCGTGCTAAATGTTGGTGAAGCCCAACTGCGAGAATCTGTACTACCCTATCCCCTACTGTTCGTTCTGAGTTATTCCTAATTAAACATAATAACATACGATTCAAAATAAATGTTAATATTGACAATAATGTTAATGTTGTCAAATAAAACAACGATAACATATTTTTAAAACACCCATTTATTTAATTGATCGTCATCTACAATGACGTCATTTAAAATAAGGCAGGACCTACAAATCCCTCATGCCTGACGTAACCTAGGTACCAAATGATTGATAGATATAATGTGCGCTCAGGTCCCTACAGTACATCGTGCAGTCAAGCAGGTACACTACGTGTATAAAGCACAGAAAAACAATGAAAACGTAAAAAAGCATTACTAGGCAACTGCTAAAACTGCCATGTTTAATTAATATCAATTATAGATAACTCAGAACAAACTAAGATTTGGAACTTGGCGCCATAGTACCTAACTTTTATGCAGCTTAAAAATATCAATGTAACGATGCCACACACATACACACATCAAAAGTGTCTAGGGATCAAGCATTTATATGCGGATTTCTTGAGATTGAGATGTGGCTTTGTAATAAATTTATGATTTTATAAATTTATATGGATCCTTTTTGGTGCATTTCATAATTTGAATCAGGAACTGTGAATCAAATTCGAGTAAAAGATGAAAATCAGCTGTCAATATTTTCCCTATAAAAACATACAACGCATTGAAGACATTATTAGTGCTACTGTTTCCCTACTACTGATTAAAACCAACGTTATTATGGAGCGGCGACGTCATTTAAGCAGGGAAGAAATGCTCAGAGCCGTGGGAATGATAGAAGCTGGTTCCCGGCAACGTACTGTGGCTTTAGCTCTGAATACAAGTCAGAGTGTTATCAGTCGACTTTGGACACGATACCGAAGCACTGGTACCGTGGCTGAGCGCCATGGAGGACGGTATCGCTGCACCACACGGAGACAAGACCGATACATTCAAATCTTAACTCGAAGAGCTCCAACAATAACCGCCATGATGTTAGCCGTGAGGCTTCATCACTCTTCAGGGAACTTAATTAGCGACCAAACAGTCAGAAACCGCTTGCATGAAGTGAACCTTCATTCCCGAAGACCGCTACGGGTACCACCTATAGCAATGCACAATCGTAGGATTCGATATCAATGGGCTCTTGAACACAGAAATTGGGCAGAAGAACAATGGCGTTTCGTGTGCTTTTCTGATGAGTCTCGTTTTGGTATGAGACCGGATACAAGACGTATACGACACTGGAGAACCCCTGGACGCCAACAGCGATTAAAATCCTGCCAGGAAGTCCATCCTTATAGTGGTGGAACCATCATGGTATGGGCGGGTATTTGGATCGGCGGAAGAACTGAGTTGATTTGGATCAGAGGCAACCTCAACGCTCAAATTTATGCTGAGACGATTGTATCAGACGTCATCGTTCCTCTACAAGTGCAAATCGGTCCCTTATTTCAGTTAATGCATGATAATGCACGACCGCACACCGCAAGAGTTGTAAGACAGACTCTCGCCGCAGCTAACATCAATGTCCTGCCCTGGCCTGCTCAGTCGCCAGACTTGAACCCGATTGAGCATGCATGGGATATGCTACAGAGAAGAGCTCTGCCGAATATGGAGGGTATCCAGTCGCAAGAAGACCTTTTTTTGTTGTTGCAACGAACATGGGCGGCCATTCCACAGCGTGATTTGAATGAACTCATTTTGAGTATGCCAAACCGATGTTCTTGTGTTGTTAGTGTTCGCGGTAGAAATACGGATTATTTATTGTTTAAGTTACCCAATAAAATTTTAGAGAAAACTGTTATTTCAGTCTTTTTTTCGAACTTTTGTGTTAGTGGTTCAAATGTCAAAAATCCCTTTATTAGGAAAATGGCAAATTTCTTTATTAATGCAAAGGTGACTTGGTTTATCGTTACTGTGACAAACGAAAACACTTTATTTGATGAATCCTTAAAGAAAATTTTAATTAATATCAATCAGGAGAAAAGTTATTGCAAAAATATATGTTGATCCCTAGACACTTTTGATGTGTGTAGTTATGGGAAGGTGAGACCTAATCAAAAGAGAATTCTTCTATGACGCGATTCTAAAAGCTTTCCATTATTATTATAACCCTTTTTAAAGTCAATACGTTTTGGATGACAATGCCTCCTTCGATTTCGTAAGAATCGTGTTCAACACGTTCAACAACATTTGAATATCAGAATTCTTACGATATTTATACGAGAGGTTTTCCACTTGCCCGCATTCTTCACATTTCAACGAGTACAATATTGGAAAACTTTCATTGGAGCTTCTCTTAGTGGAGTCAACCAAGTTTAGGTGACAAAAAACAATACTGCCAAATTTGATTAGCGTTCAAATAAAGTTACTAATTTACTTACTAATTTTATTATTTATCATGCATAAGGGCTTTTTCGTCCGGCGAAACAAATTCAAGAGAGGCTTTCGCCGGTTCTTCTCAGAAAGGTCTCCCAATTTTGGAACCGGTGGTAGTTTACGGTAGTTAGGGTCAAATAAATTAACTCAAAATTACAAAAAAAAAAAAAACTTTATTAAGTAAATTAAATAATAAATTCATACATAGACAATAAAACTTAACAATCGAACAATGAAATAACCAAACGCTCAATAAAGGTCTTTCGAAGGTAGCTCGACAAATTAATTAAAAGTTTTATTCTGACGACGAAGCCTGTAAAGGCTACGAAACGTCAATAAATAAATAAAGTTTCGTGCTTTAACCCGTAAAAACTAGTTTTATTTAATGAGTGATGTGCGTGAAAACCTTAGAAACAAATAGGTACTAAGATTTTCGAAGTTTTATCAATCAATGTGTTTGTTACAGGCAACCCTCGCAACAAATGTGCTCTACAGCCGGGTCACAGTCTCATGGACTGGATCAGATTAGGGAACTCCGGCAAAGACTTGACTGGCGTCGGGGGTCGCATTCGACCCGTCACTCCACAAGAACTAGCCACCCACAATTCGGAGAGTAAGACATTCAATATATCATGATCCGAAAGAATAAAATTTAAATTGAAGGGAAAGGAGACGGTTCAAATTTGTAGTAGTATCTCTGACGGACTCCAAATTTTTATGACGTGTTTTTATCCCTGTTTTTTTTCAAATAATAATTACAAATTGTTTTTCCTCTATAATTTACTTTCTTTCAGGTGACGCGTGGTTAGCAATTCGAGGGAGGGTGTACAACATCACACACTATTTGCCTTATCACCCCGGAGGTAATATTTTGCAAATACGTAGTTATTTAGGTACCTATGTATCTGGAATATCTAGGTATTATATCGAAACAAAGTCGAGCTTAATGGGATTGTCCTTTGTCCAGGTCCTGAAGAATTAATGAAAGGCGCTGGTATAGACGCGACTCAGTTATTTGACAAAGTACACCCTTGGGTCAATTTCGATTCACTTTTGGCGAAGTGTGTCGTCGGTCCGCTGAGATTTAACATACCCGATTCCGACGAACTCTTCGATACATCCAGCTCGTCACCTAAATCTGACCGACTTAGAGAACCGTCGAAAACGCAAGAGCTCGTTAGGAAGTCCATGGAAAATTTAGCTAATTGTATAACTCCAGTGAGAAAGAAAATTACATCGAGAAGTGAGGAGAACGTTAAAAGTAGTCCTCCTAGTAAAATTATGCAAAGTTTGATACAGTCTAGCGACTTACCTGTATCAATAAGCCGGAGGGCTGCGGCTAGTCCAACAAAAAGTGCAGAAAAAGTGGATGTACCACCTCTACGCTATGATTGGATACAGACAAGTACGAAACTTACTATATCAGTGTATACGGGAGCTCTTGCGAACCCGGGCGGTTGCGCACGGATCACAGAAGGCATCCTACTAATTGAAGTGGCGACAAACGGCTGGCTCAGAACACTGAAGTTGTTGCCCGAAGCGGAATTAGAAGAACCCTTACAATTACGTGTATATGCTGAAAGTGGAAAAATCGACGTAAGTTCTCTTTTGAGTAAGGTCTTTTCAGTTAAGCAATTTTGAAGAATCTTTATAAGTAACTACTTGGTTAAAAAGTTGTTAAAAAAATGATTAATGTAAACCTGATCTACTGAGTTAAAATCATCGCTTATGTGTATTACCTACACTTACCGATTACAGAACCTTAGTTACAAAACCTACCAAAATATGGAAGTTTTTTTATCTTAAACTCTGCATTGTTCGATACTGTCTTGTGGTTTGTGAAAATTTTTCATTTACCTTCACGCTCTACTGAACAGTTCAAGTTGGGTGTAAGATGTTATGAGTTGATAATACCTACAGGTTGCTACCCTACTTTATAGACTTAAGTTATCAGCTGACGTAAGACCTATGCTGATTTTCCTTCCAACTATTGTCTATTAAAATAAAACCCTTTAATGGTAATAAGGGTATAGGGTAGGTAATACGGCTTAATCTGTACTTACATAATATTTGACGTTTCGTATCGGACCCGTTTCAGTACCCCAAGCTCGAACAACTCGCGAGAAAATATTCGTATCGCTATCGTCCAAGTTTTTATAGAAGGAGCTAGTTCGGTCTTACTCGCGGCAGGGGCGCTGCTTAGTTTTCATAGAAACTTTGACTTTGAGGCGATACGAATATTTCCTCGTTAGTTGTTCGTGCTTCAGTACCCTTAGTACGAGTTTACAATTACGAAAACTATGATAGTTATCATTTGCGGCTTCTTAAATTTTAAGTATATTTGGTTACTTTTCACCAAAATGGACATAGAAACCTAATTTACAATTACGAAAACTATGATAGTTTTCGTGAGCTTGAACTCTTACCAAGGGTACTGGTACAGATTCCCAAGTCACTATACTGCTCACTATGTGCATTCTATTACATTTATTTTTAGCGAAACTTAAAAAAACTATTCCTTGTCCAGGTGATAGCACAAAAAGCCGATGCGCATCTATGGAAGGGCTGTGGTGAAGTGACGCTAGGTGTGGCGACGAGGGTCGCCTCCCCTAGAACTGTGGAGTGTCGCGTGGTGACGTCAGACGTCGTCACACACGATTCCGTCATGCTGACGGTGTCGCCTCGCTCCGGCCCCGTAGTCGTGCCACTAGGCCATCACATAAGGGTGCATATGAAGGTTGCAGGTAACTCGAAACTTAAGCCATATATTCCATCGGACTATGGGAGTGTCGCGTGGTGACGTATGACGTGGTCACACACGATACCGCCATACTGGCGATGTCGCCTTGCTTCGGCCCCGTGATCGTGCCACTGAGCTATCACATAAGTGTGCATATGAAGCTTGCAGGTAACTCTATAGGTGAGGCAAGGCGTATTATATTCAATCGATCTGTGGAGTGTCATTCTTAGCGATGACAACACACTTACAGCTTCATTATGGCAGCAATAAAACGGTATCGGTAGTGCAAGTGGATCCTGAATTACCTACTTGGAATTGACAGTGTTTATGTGCATAAATAAATTTCTTTTTCTATTAGTCTCTTAGTCCATCACATTAACAAGACACTTGATATATCTAATGTTGGGAGTGATTGATTCCGGATTCCGACTTCGAACACTGATGATTCATTCATGCTTTTTGCAATAACATATTCGAACTTAGCTATGTATAGAATAGAATTATTTACACGATAAATCAATTCTGATTTATTACAACTATACCCCACTACCTACCCACTTTTGTTGTTGTAAGTAGGTACTAGGTAATCCAAAACTTGATTTAAACAACTATAATGGTTTCAGATGTTGCTTTAACAAGTCTTTTTCGATTCATGTCAGATTTTGAGAAGCTTGATGGCGCGGGTGGTTACCGCGTTCGGCTGCGATCGTTGAAGTTAAGTAACTTTCGCAGTGGTCGGTCATTGGACGGGTGACCAAAAATCCTCTATCTCGAGTTCAGTTAAGCCGTTGGTCCCGGCTGCATCTGCATTCGTTAGCACCCGCCAATCCGCACTGGGCCCGCGTAGTGGGTCATGGTCCAATCTCCCTATTCCATCCCTAGGGAAGGCCTGTGCCCCAGCAGTGGGGACATCAATAGCTGATGATTGATTGATTGATTCCGATTCAAGGGTCCGAGTGCATCAGATCGTACACACCAGTCGGTGAGGGCTGGTTTCCGCATGAAGACGCCTCGGCTTTAAGACTAGCTGTGAAGAAATACCCCAACGGCTGTCTCAGCCCACATCTCACCGCACTGAAAGTGGGAGAAACGGTGACGCTATCAGGACCATACGGTAGCTTCCAATTAAATAAGGTAAATCTAAAACCACCAGTAACATAACAATCCTACAAAAAAAAATCTTCCTATTCTTATTGTGTACCTACATAATTTCAGCAAATAAATATGATTATTTATGGAGTACAAAATCCAAGCACAATTATTTTTATTAATAAGTTAAGAGAGCATGACTACTCATACTCACATATGGATACAAGGTTGCAAAATAAGAAAACAAAATATATAAGTACCAGTGTACATTATTATAACAAACTATAAACACAACTGACACACGCATGTGATTCCCCATACACTGGTGTCGATTCCGGCACTGCTCTCCAAAAGCAAACTCAAAATCATTCCCCCCTTTTCACTCTGTATAGAAAATGACAAGGATATACTGCTGCAAAACCTAAGATCAGGTCTAGAGAACCATGCCATTATATTCTAATCAAAGATTTTTGGCAGAAAAGTGGGTCGTTCCAGTTATTCTTGTCTTGCCGGCTTGAATCCCTCCACGGGGCATGAAATTGGATTCAAGCCGGCCTGGCAGCCCTGGTGGAGGAACATTCCTCTCCAAGAGAAACAAAACACTACGTACTAGTAACTTATTTATTATCTTGTTAACAGTTGAAGGCGGTAAAGAAAATTTACTTCTTAGCTGCGGGCACGGGCATCACTCCGATGTTGGGATTATTGAACTTTATGCTTTCCAGATCTAACCTCAGATGGTAAGTACGTTGTTAAGGATTAGTTTATTAGTATATCGCTACCTTGGGGTAGAAAGGTAGTAAAAGCCATAAACCCTACTTTACAGGACGAGCAAAAAACAAAATTTTAAAAACATTTTGGCTAATAACTTTTTTGTTCTTATAGGTATATTGGCCCTATTAAGTCAGATTTGTTAATTTTTTATGTTCTTTGCGATGGAAAACCTTATTTAATTGTCAGTCTTTTAGTTTAGAAGATAGCGTGGATTTACACCCAATTATTTTTTTAAATATGGTTTATACACCCCAAAATTTTTGGACTGGTTACATTGTAATGAGTCGTAACTAGATGTAAGTCGTGGTTATTGAGCTTAAAAACCACTAACATAAAATAAAGAAAGTCGTAAAATCAATACCTTTCGAATGTTGCGAACTATGATAACTTTATAGTAATATTACAGACCGTACTTAAACTTGGGTAACAAAAACCATTATACCCAAATACCCCACTGTACTACTAGTACCTATGTGTGAACTAATGCCGATTATAATCAGATAATGAATAAAATTTAGTATTTTTTTTAAAATGACAAATTTACTAGAAACAAAGTACTTACTTGAAAAAAAATGTTTAATCAAGTTGTTTTTATTCAAGAAAACGTAAACACAACGTTATTGAGCGAAATACAGTGACAGTAATCATAACTGTTAAAATAGCTTCGTGTTTTGTTGCGGCAATTGAATACCTAGTTTACTACTACTTACTACTAATTTTTTAAGTCGGTAATCATCAATAAAGTTGCTCAGAATAAATTTATTATTTCTAACAAAAATATAAAACTTTGACGGTATGTTATATTTATTTTAATTTTCATCTTGGCCATCCTCATCGTCTTCATCTGTATTATGATAGGCAGTTTTGTAAAGATTCATGAGGTAAATTCAAATATTCATGTTGATATAAATTTGGTATGGTTCCTTTTTCACATAAACGTTTCAAATCATTGTATTTTGCAGTTGAAATCGGCGGTCGACGGTCATACAACTTACGCAATACCAGTTCTTCACCTTGGATGGAACTTTGTTCGCTATTTGTATCGTCGTCGTTATCTTGAATTCTTCCTATTCCCTTTCCTTTGAATCTTCCTGTTCCTCTACCTTTCCCCTTTCCCTTTTTCCTTTTTGTAGATTCTTCATAAAGATTGAATGTTTCCTCGAGTGCGTCTTCACACATTGAGTACTTGACTTCTACTTTATTTGTATGTCTTTTCTTAAATGTCGCAATCCTGATTTGTTGGTTTTTTTTAATGTTTCTTTTGTGAATTCATCAACTTCTTCAACTTCTTCAAAGTATTTATATAAACAAGTAGCAATTTCTTGGCTGCCTCGTTTTGCATCACCCTCTCCCCATATATAACATTATCCATTTTGAGTCCCACTTTCGTACAAAGTGAAATTGAATACTACATATTTTCTGGAATATCCTAGTAGCATGCTATCTCCATGAGGTGTGGGGATACTGCTAAATTGTACGAAACGTATGGAGTTCAGAGGCTGTAAATCGGAAGCGTACTGAACTTTGGTTTTTACAACCAAGCGTAATTTTTTACTTTGGTAGTACACCATACTTGACTCAAATCTACTGTCTTTTACAACTTGAGCCTGAGAAAAAAATAGGGCATTACTCCAAATGGTCATAGCAAAAATTTTTTTTTTGGTTCTTACATCACAAATCCCAACAAAATCTCTGTTTAGACGTTCAAGTCACGTGGACCGTAAACACCATTTTTTTGCGAATTTGATAGCGTCATATAAACCAACCGATAGAGCGAAGAATTCCAAATAAGACTGCATTCGTAACTCATTTTAGGCAAAATGGTTTATACGACCTTTCTACCCTAAGGTGTCGATATGTAGAAACATAACCATATAATTTTTATTTTAGGCAGGCATTTTAAGGGAGATGATCAGATTTATATTGTACCATGAATTAATTAATCAATTTTGATTCGTTCCAAATCAATTGGTAGGTTATGGCGCCTCCTATAATAATTTATATATAGATATTAATTTAGTAACTACACCAATAAAATAAGCTTTTTGACTTTTTTGGTTTCGTACGGCTGTAGGGGTGTTGCTAGAATTAAATTCAATCATCTCCATTGATAATTAAATCTATGCATAAATTTAACCCAGAGAGGCGTCCGACCCTTCATTTCCCTTTTCCGGTTGACGTGTTCGTATGAGTCTCTCCATATGCATATCATGATAGGTACTATCTATATCCACTACTTAACTTGTACGTACATAAGTACTCCCTTTTTCATCAAATGCTTTACGTAATTATTTTCATACCCCAATTTATTTAGACATGGCACAAAAAATTACCTCACCTGAAGTTAAGTGTAAGCGGCATCCACTCCAGCCTTTCTCACATTGTCGGAATCTGAATCCAATCCCCCTACCTCGTAGAGCTCTACATCCTTACTCAATAAACCAACAACACCACAGATCCATAAAGTTTTGTTATTTTACTGTGGTCGTCTACCCTTAGTACGAATTTTACAATTACAAATTTTATGATAGTTTTCGTGAGCTCACACTCGTACTAAGGGTACTGATTTTATTGTTTTCGTTTCAGTACAAATAAACAGTGTTTAAATTCTATCATTAAATCATTTGCGTCTTCTTAAATTTTAAGTATATTTGGTTATTTTTCACCAAAACGGACATAGTAACATAAATTACAATTACGAAAACTATGATAGTTTTCGTGAGCTCAAACTCGTACTAAGGGTACTGTAAGAAGGAGTTTACTACCCCAGACGGGACAGCTCGCATTCGAGAGACAAATCTGCTATGCTCTAACTCTCTTAAATCATTTGTTATACCTATTGTAGACAGGCAGCATATGAAAACCAAAGAACATGATGTTTCCGTGCAAATTGTTACAAAATACCAGGACTTTTTATATAATGAATCAGTATATTTGTCTAAAGATGATTTGGCTCTGTTAACCCTGCACGGGAATTTTGTGTTTTATTGAACTAGCGGTCGCTCGCGACTTCGTACGCGTGGAGTTAGTTATAAATAAAGGTTTACTGCTCGTTCCCCGTAGGTGATAGCGTGATAATATGTAGCCTATATGTTAACCGGAATTCTTAATATTATTCGTGCCAAATTTGAAGTAAATCCATGCTGTACTTTTTGAGTTTTTCCCGGACATACATACAGACTAACAGACAAAAATTCTAAAAACTATATTTTTGGCTTCGGTATCGATTGTAGATCACACCCCAAGTATTCTTTTAAAAAATATTCAATGTACAGTGTTGACTTTCCTACCATTTTATTATATGTATAGATCCTCAGCTTATTATTGGAAATGGAAAAGAAGAGGTCATGCATGGTACCACACCGGTCCAGTGCAGATTGCTGGGTGCTAATAACTGCCGATCAGGGGCGTTTTTACCCTAATGCAGTCGGCACTGGTTTTTAAAGCACGAGTTGGAGATTTTTAATCGCCCATTCTATGACCTGCCTTACATCTTTCGGCTTAAAGCCTGAAACACGGGGCGAATTCACAAGCTACAAGCCAGCGAGTTCGCTAGTAGCTTGTAAACTCACCCCGTATCATCGAGTAGCAAATGGTAAAAAAGGCGATGACAAAAGCTGCTAGCAAACTCGCTAGCTTGTAGCTTGTAAACTCGCCCCGTGTCATCGAGGCTTAACTTTCTCGATCGCATACCGAACGCGGTAATATACCATCGAGCTCTTCAGGATTTTTATTGGAGTATTCTCTTCTATTTCAGTGAGAGGGCGCATCTAATTTTCTTCAACAAAACTGTGGATGACATCCTTTTTAAAGAGAACTTCGAAGAAATATGTAAAGAGGATAACAGGTAAGTTGATCTAAGTAAATATGGTGTTGAGTGTTGTGATACTTAGGTGTGGTTATGGGATTACCATTTCTATGGCTGTAGGTAGCTGGAGAGACTAAGAAATTATTTGTCAGTTTTGATTTTTTTAATATTTTATACACTTGTAAATACTGGTCGCCCATTTGCCCAAATTCATATTCTTCTGTCAAATATCAATGTGTACCTACCTAAGTGCCAACCCTGTAGTATATCTAATGTTGTTTCTTTTTAAGGTTTTGTACCTCAAAAGGAAAAAACGGATCTCTTATAGGGTCGCTTTGTTATCTTCAGTAACGTGTGGAGGTATCGAGTTGAAATTTAAACCATATAGTCAGGTCACAATATATATAAGGTCAGGTCTAGTGTCTTTTGAAGCTATCAAAAATCAAAAAGATATACGTCCGTTTATGTTGTGTCCCTAGATTTTTTCACGGAACCCTCGGTGGGTGAGTGCGACCGACTCGCACTAGTCCGGTTTTTTTCAATTTATTTTAAATTAATTTAATATTACGTAAATGAATAAAATAATATTAGCTTGGTGTTTTTCTCCAAATAAACTTAAATGCAAAAATATCACCCTCAAACGTGCGTAAAATTGCACTTAAAAAAAGGGGTACAAACTTTTTTCTTATCACGTATTAATAAATGTATGACATGAAAAATAAAATAGATAAAATTAAGAAAAAATAAAGTGAAATAAACATTATTGTACCTCTTTATTTCCAGATTCGTGGTCACACATGTGCTATCAGATGCGAAATCAAGTTGGACTGGCCACAGAGGTCGTATAAACCTCGACCTCCTTCACCAAATCCTCGGGAAAGATCCTCTAAAATGTGGAGATCAATGTACGCACTTCGCATGCATCTGTGGACCTATGGAGTTCACACAAACCGGCCTACAATTACTTAAGAAATGTTCAATGAAAGACGAGTGTATACACGCTTTTATGGGTTAGGCTGAATAATGTATATGTGGATATTAGAAAATAAAAATACCTTTTTGTTGTTTGCCTTAAGTTATAAATTACAAAAGACACGACTTTAAAACCTAAATTGAAAGCCGGCGGGGTGTTACAATGAGGAAATGATTAGACTTTTATTTCCTAATTATAAATGCATCACCCTTATCATAATACCTAATCCCACACTAACAGGTGTAAAACTGTTTTAAAACTTCTTTAAGCATAAAAAATATAATATTTTATTAGCTGACTAATAGAATAATCCCAATGTTTTTCTTAATATCCTATGAGTGAGACATTAGATAATTGCTTACATTAATATCAGTTTTATTCTGAAATCTAATAACGGATAAATGTGGTAGGTATGATAATTTGGCCAAATATGTGTATCGTTAGGTACTTTTAAGACAAAAGAAATTAATAGACATCTAATAATAAATAAAAAATTGTGTCATAGATTTTATAAAAAATGTAAATAGATTTTTGTGAAAAATTGTGATCATAAATAACGTAGTTACCTATTTTTGAAAGTTATTTTTAACTGTAAGAATATTATGCTTTGTTTTAGCTAATATAAAGACACCATTTGTAAAACGATTCATGATAAATTATTGGTAGGTATACTGCAGGTATATTAATATATCAAGAAAGTGAGGAGGTAACTTGATACTTACCAGAACAAATGATAAATATGGTTCCATCCATCTTAACTAATTATGGATACATCTTACGAGTCAAGTGCAAATGGCTATATCATATTCTCACTATGTATTTTACGAGCGCTAGTTTCATGTCAGCAAATTTGCACATATTTTTAAGAACCGTCCATACGTAGAGGTGCATTTTTAGTACCTATTATAATATCTAACATCTGCCTAAACGTACGCAGAGAGATGTACATTGTACTATCTTTAATTCCTATTTAATCAGAGTCCCTTTGCAGTCATCATCTAACAGATACGTTTGACCATATTCGATCATTAATTGAATTTAAGGAAACGGTTGCCATTGTTCTGGTCAAACAATGTGAACGGACTAATATCATTGAAACAGTAGGTTGGTTAGGTATTGTTTAACCGAATGTGATCGAATAATTAATTAAATAAACGGAGAGTTGCTGCAAAAGACAGAGTAGGCATTACATAATTATGTCTTAAATGAAATCGAAAATAGAGAGAATTAAAAAACATTGTTACAAAGTTTATATTTCATTCAAATTGTAACAAGGGCCCACGTCCCGCATCATATGTAACAATCTAAAAAAAACACATCAGACTGCAATCCAAGGACTAAACAGCTTGGGTCGATGAAACTTCTACACATGCGAACAGTGTCCCTGATTGTAACACGGACCTCTAAACTCAAAACTGAATTTGACCCAATATCTCCTTTTTATTCTATAAAGAGCACGAGAAGGATATACCTACTTGTTGTAAAATTTTGTAAGTTTAGAGAATCGTTCCAGAATCAGGCCAATTAGCATCACGTAAATTTTTTTTTAATGTAGGTACTGCGTATGTACTACGCTATATACCTAGGTACTTACTTATAATCACATACTAAAAAATCATGTCCTGCAATGAAAACTCTATGGGAAAAGGCCCCTCAGATACCATGAAATTGTTATTAAAATTTGTAAGTATATTAAAAAGTGCCTACATTCCAGGTAAAATTATATCTATTGTAATTGTTTTGTTGTGGAATTGGTTCTATTTTTTAATTAAAAAGATTAAGTTTTAGTGTGTTATTTATTTGGAATGTCACCCTATTTTATCCTTATCAAAATATTTATCATTACTGTATATTATGTGTACGGTACACATAATAACGCTTCAGACTATACAAAACTGTTTTGTTTCCCAAGGCTAATCAAAATAAAAATGCCACCAAGCAGACATTTCCTATACTCAATTCACAAAGTGCACACATTTGTGCGAGATTATATTTACAGAGTAAGATCCCAAGACTGTCAGTCCTTACTTATTTTCTCATGGACGAAATATGGATTATCGAGTAGTATTACTGTGTACAATGAACGTATACCTACATATTCGCTAACTTGTGCTGTGGGCTAATTTTTACGTAGCAGTCACGTAAACATTTTACGTGACTGCTCATCAGGTCTCGTAAACATTTTACAGTCAGGGGACTGATTATTACGTATGTTGTAGAGGATATTGTAAACAATTTGAAATTAATACTGCCTGACACATTCTGTTCGCAGTATTTATTGCCAGACACTTTAAATGTCGAAAGCAAAAACCACAAAACTTACTTACAGTCTGAGACCTGATATTTGTGTATGATATTTAGGGGGCTTTTATTATATTTTGTAAGCTGCCGGTCCAAACTTTGGGCCCAAAAATTCCCTAAGCTTTTTTGAACTGCCACTGTGAGGATAGGCGCGCTCGTGCTAATTAAGGCGCTTTGCAGACGACGGGGCGGGGCGGGCTTTTTGTCCGCGAAACAATAAAAACCGCGTCTGTCCGTCGATGTCTGCGGCTGCCCTCGCCGCGTACACAAAGCACACGACGGGCAGAGGCAGTCAGTTCAGGACGTTCGTTCTAGTGAATAGTCCATCACTAAAAAGCGCGTGGCGCGGACTGAGCCAGCCGCCCCGCGCCGTCGTCTGCGTTACTGCATATAAACTGGTTTGTATGATCCACGGCGGGCAGCCGCGGACATGCCGCGCCGCCAGTGCCCGCCGGGCACCTGCGGCGCGGTCTTTTTGCCCTCTGTGTGCGTTTGTAGTATAGGATTCACTTTGTGCTATCGTTCGCGGCGAAATTGACCGGCCCGCTCCGCCTCGCCGTCTGCAAAGCGCCTAAGTGTCTTTTTTGATATAGCTTCATTAAAGTTATGTGATAAATAGTGTACAGGAAGCCTTTTACAATCATTAAATAACTTTTTGAGCAAGCAACTTGAGCAAGTTTGTGTTTTTTGCTTTCGACATTAAAAGTTTCTGGCAAAAAAAACTGCTCACAGAATGTGTGTCAGTATGTATTTAAATTGTTTACAATATTCTACAAAACATACATTGGAATCATTCCCCAGATTGTAAGTATGGTGAGTGAAATTTTTACGTGCCTGTGCCACCCGATACCAAATAATTGGCCTACAGCACAAGTTAGCAAGTATGTATACGTTCATTGTTCATACTAATATGACTCGATTATCTATATTGTGTCCATGAGAAAATAAGTAAGGTCTGGCAGTCTTGGGATCCTGTACTGTTAGGATTTATAGTCAATAGAGTACCAAACTATCTTCTTTGTCTTACACCCGGTTTCTGAAACGCATGTCATCGAAAAAATTACGTAACAAATTGTTAATCTCTATTTAAATGCACTTTGGGTTTCTCAATGAGCCAAGGGACAGTTTGTCAATGATTTGTTGTTGCAAATGTCAAATCTCGAATTAATGGCCGATTGCGGTAGTTTTTGGTTTCCGGAAAGCTTTTTTGTATGTTAACTGCATGTTAACGTTTTGTTGTGTTTTAATAAGTAATTGGTGAAAATTGATCAATTAACAGACTGTCAAAAGAAATTTTACTGATATTTTGGTCAGAGGATTGTTGTAGTGGTAGTAAAAAATGTTGTCAGATTTATCTGTTGACGATATATCCCTATCTAGTGACGAGGAAGATCTGGCACCAACTCGCCAGTTCCGGAAACGAATAAATCCTGTAATTCATTACAATGGTGAAGAATTTAAGGATCGCTATTCAAAATCTGTTTTCCATCAACTAATGGGAAAACTGACACACCTGGAACTTAAAACGAACAATTATTGTACACTAAAGGCTTCCTAGAATTATGGCTAACCCAACATAAAAAGAATATTTCAATTCAGTTCAGCAGTTCCTGATGTTAACGCGTTCAAACAAACAAACAAACATTTTTATATTGCAGTTCATATCAGATTTACACTATAATTATTTTACTTTTTATTTGCTTTAGAAGTAAATTCCAATTCTTTAACTTTTATTTCTAAATTCTTCAATTTTTTTCCAAGTCACGATTTTTTTACACCGTCACAGCATTGGTAGACTTATTTTCTATTATTGCTTTGTACCTACATTGAAATATATATTATCAATATATTTACAAATTTTAAATGCCAAAAGCAGATCGGTTTCTTTGTATAGATTAGAAAGCTTGAATTGAACAACTGATTTGTACCTATTAGGTACTTACTTATCCACTATTGTTAAAAGCTCCCTCTTTTCTCGCTCCGTATAGTTTTTTCGTGACATATTATGTAAAAACTTTACAAATGAAAATAAATTTCAATGTTTTCGGTACACACAATCGCTTTTAATTTTCAGTCTTTTAAATAAAAGTCACTTAAAAGTTGTCAAAAGATAGAGACAAAGCTATGCGTTAGACAGAAACAAAACATGAATGATCGAATGAAAGTGACTGGTTTTAGCTAGGGTGGCCAGACTAATAAATAAATCCTGCCTTAACAGTAGATTCGTTAATTTTTCGGTAAATATCTTTTCAGAAACCCACAGTTGCTCAACAAATAGTTAATTATGACAGTCTGTCAACTAATTCAATATTTGACATGCGTTTCAGAAACCGGATGTTAGTCTATCGAGTAGATTTATCAAAAAGTATTGGACACGTATTTTTTCTTTATTCACAACAAGGAGGTTAGAGATAAGAAGAACAATCGCTATAGAAAATAGTGTCCCAGAAATATGGGCAAAATAAGTGAGGCGCTGCGATCGCTACGTTGTCTCAATAAAAGCGGCCTAATTTGAAATGACCAATGCCGCGAAGAAAAGGAGATTGCTCAAATTAGCCCAAAAGCACAAAAAATATTGACATATACGGTAATTCTTGGCGTTATTTATACTTTATTTTACAGTCATTAGATTATAACGGACACCTTTGTTTAATATATTCATTTTTAAAAGTACTTTTAATTTTACCGATTAGAAAAACATACGAATCATTTTTAATGGCTATGGGTGTAGTAACATTCAGCCAAAGACTGATCGAAGTTATTTATATAACATAAAATCAAATCTATTTTGTAAAGGTCGATAAAATAAATCATTTTTTTATTACACTGTGGTATTAATATCCACAACTATAATCATTTTCACTTCACGCAAATGTGCTAAGACTATTATTTTAGATGGTAGGCGACATCATAAAGTCTATTGCCATACAC